CCCAATAACTCATGATGTGCAAGCTAGTTAGTTTTAGGGAAGGAGGACATTTAAACAAGTAATTTAGTAATAGAAGATAAACTGTTATCCGCATCATTGTCTAAGATGGCATACATGTACCACGAAATATTAGAAAAGTATTAGATGTTTTCCTGCTGCCATCCTCACATTTCACCCCTGCACATTAACTTCTGCATTAATATGACGACATTACAGAGTATGTCTTTGAAAGACAACGACCCAGCGTAAGAACAAGCATTGCGGAAGTGAAGTGAATGAAAAGCTAAAATAATTATGTTTCAAGAAGAATACAAAAAGATTTCACCGCATGAAGCTCCTATTATTACCACACCATGATAATGCTCAGTAGTGAACTGATATGAGTGATGTTCGCTTCCGAAAATGTTTCCTTGGTAATAAAGGTAAGACTTCACCTGAAATAACTGACTTTCAGTGAGTAATAAAATTCTCAATACTCATTTTTTAAGAGTATTAGGGACACGGCTGAAAGTTGTTCTGCATGTCGAGGACACAGTCACTCGTCCTGATCGCTTGTGACTACTAAATTTTTCTTTTCTTTCGTGGTTTGTTCATGTACTTTTTTCCCCACACACCTATATTTTTTGTGGATGTTTTAGTAGGCTTTTGTCTGACTTTTGCATGGTTCTGTAAAATGACTATTTTGACTGGCTCACTTTTGTGAGAGGTGCTATGGTTGAAATCCAGTTCAGTTTAGCCTTTTGCGAGCAGAAATTTCTGGAGGTTTCCTCAGCTTTATATCAAGCTGGTTCGGAAACATACCTGATTTATAAGTCCTGAATGAAACTCACTGACTGTCCCCAGTACATATATATATATATGTATATATATATCCTGGATCTGGAACAGTAATTTTCAACAGCTTAATTATAACTGTGTGACGTAATCACTATGAATAGTACTAGTGTAACGACAGAAGGCAAGGGGCAGGTCACAAGTCGTTTATTGACGAAATCAACAGATATTTATATATTTTATACACATTATTATTCGTTATTGCTAGCAGAGAAACAGCGTCTTCTGATTGGTTGTTTTCTCTCTGAAAGTTAATCTGTCATCTCTTTGTGGCCATTTCTTTGAAGGTCAGACCATATATCTGCTAATCGTATCCGCCCACACAAAGTCTGCTGTGATTGGTTGTCGAGTTAGTCTTTGTTCTTGTGTTTTTTCCTCATGACCAAGATACGGGACGTAAATTGCTGTCTACCAATTTCAGCTAGCAGAGACAGCTCTTACCAGACTAGTACAGATGTGTTTCTATAAAAATGAAAGGAGTATGTGGTATTCAGAAGAAACAATGTACTTTTCCTAAAATTATAAAACAGTTTTCCTCTAAAGGAATAGTCATTTCTGTAAACTGACAATGAATTTAACAAGTTAGCTTATACCGGACTTATGTCACTTTTAATGCCTACCAATTAATCTTTGTCATCACTTAAAGAAAACATATCTTCAATTCGTTTATTTGTGGTGCATATATACATCCTATTTTGTATTGTTCGTGTTGTAGTCAGATAGCTGATAAGAAACTGGAAGGTCATGGTGAAAGAATGAAGTTATAATACCTTCTCTGGTAGATTTGTCATTCTCTTTTGCTTAGTGCTCAAGTGTTTGCTGTTGGGAAGAATGTTTTGCATAAAATTATATACTACTGATTAATTCAGATGTATAGTTGTATACTATAAATCAATGAGTGGTGTTTGCTAGCCAGATAGATCGAAGTGATTTAACTACCGCTTGACCGTTTTGCTCGTTTCTTGGAGTCGAGCTCATTAGCGGTGTACTATCCTGTTTGATTCAATTGAGAGAGTTGAATTAGTTCAAACTACCAGATTTCTAGTCAAGTCTTTGTCAACCTCATTCATCAACTGGCTGGCTATAAGACAATGCCACATGTCAAGTGATCCACAATGGAAAACCCACTCAGTGAGGCGTTCGATGTGCATACAGGAATAAGATAAGCTGACTACCTGTTATCACCTATGGTATTCTCAATTGTGGTGGACTGGATAATGTGTCAGACTGTTGTGGGCGAGGGGTCACGAATACGCTGGACGACTGTTAAGAAGACTAGAAGATCTGGATTCCACGTGTGGATGATTTATGTCTAATGGCACATAAATCGAAGTCTTGCAAGCAGGCAGGCGAAAATTAACAAACTGGCTGAAGAGGCAGCGAAAACAGGACTGCAGGTGAACACAGAAAAGACGGAGGTGATGAAGATAACTAACCGACAGCACCAACGGGAGAGGAAGAGATTTGACAGAGGCTTCCTCCTTCACTTATCTAGCCAGGAAGCATCGTTTCAACTACAGGGGGAACGGACGGTGAAGTTAAAACTAGTCAAAATTGGAAAGCCAAGATACGCCTTCATCAATCTGAAACCGGTTTGGAAATCTTCTACACTCAGCATAAGGAAGAAGGTTCGCATTTTCAACACCAGTGTCAAGTTGGTCCTTCTATAGGGGTCAAAAACTTGGCGTGTAACGGGAAGGATTTCCACTAGGTTAGTGCGGACTTTCATCAGCAACTGCCTTCTCTGGCTCTATAGTGAAGATCAAATGGCCAGGCAGAAAGAATTAGCCACAAAAAACTGTGGGAATACACCAACTGAGCAAGAGCCTATCTCTGAACAAATTTGTAGGAAAAAATGGAAAGGGATCAGTCGGGCATACATTGAGGAGGCCATCGGTCGAATGACATTGTACGCAATGCAGGCCATTACTCGAGTGGAATGCAAATGAGTAGCGAGCGACGAGTGGGTCGTCAGTGCGAAGGTGACAAGGAGGAGAACGTGTGAGGATAAGATGAGACAGTTTGGTCAATCGTGGACCTATAGGAAGAGGACGGCAAAAGACAGAAGAAAGTGGAGATGTGTTGTTGAAGGCCTATGTTACACTCGGAATGCAAGGGAATAATAATTAAAAACCCGGTTTTCTGGCTGACTACTTGCGTGAATTGGCAATGGTTCACTTACTGTGATCTGAATAGTTCGATTTCCAAAGGAAAGTGTGGAGAAATTTGACCTCATTGAACTATGAGAATCGTATAAAGTTTTTAAAATAAGAATACTCTATTTGATGATAATATTGTTTAAGCCACGTAGGAAGGTGTAAACTTCCTGACTGACTGACTGACTGACTGACTGGATGGATGGAATCCTCGGGATGATAAAAACCAATGGCGGTGGCTGGAGACATTTGGGCATATGGCTAGCTCAAAATCGTTGTCAATGGCTGGCACAGTTGCATTCACTCTTTGTGATTTATAATATCCAATAAAATTCTATTGTTCTTCCATATTATTACTACTCTTTTTCCCTCACTCACACTAATCTGTATTATCTCTCTTCCTCTTCACTCTGTTCTCTTTCTTTGTTTGTTACAAGGCGGGAGTGTGGGGACTCAAACTGGTACACACCTGTGCAAAGTTTCATGTTGAAACCAGTCAGTCAGTCATGTAGGTACTGTCTGTTTGGATTCAACATAGAACTTGGCACCGAAGTGCAGCAGTTCGAGTTACCATGTTCCAAATAGCACACAAAGGTAGACAAGAAGATGAGTGAAGATAATCAATAGAGTTTGACAAGTATAAGATTAAAACAGAATGAATAATGTTTGAAAGAAATATGAAAGATTACAGAGACTGAATACATCTGCGCCATTGACAACGATTTTGAGCCATGTCACCTATTGTTTCCAGCCATTGATTCCTAGAGCCCCGAGGACCCCAACCCGGAAGTCTGCATCTCCCTACTTGACTCAGTTTAACTGTCAAGGATTTCATGGATTGATGCCATGTTTTTGTTTGGCCACCACCTACTCTTTTCCAACCTGCACCTTTATCAGGTGGTAATGTCTGTCGGGGGAGGCGATGGTTAGGCATGCGCAGCACGTGACCTAGCCATCTTAGTCTATGTAACTTTATAGCCTCGTCGATTGATTTTCCCTCTTTACCCAACACTCTACGCCTAACGTCAACATTACTTACCTTATTATACCACCTAACATGAGAAAGAGATCGTAGACATCTGTGATCAAAAACAGTCAACCTTTTCATGTCTTCAACTCGTATTGGCCATGTTTCAGAGCCGTAGAGAGTACAGTCAAATTCTGTGGTTTAATAACGTTATTTGAAGGTGTATACAATTGTAAAACCAAAAATAAATTTTCTTCCTAGCCTACGTCGAGTTATAATCAGCTCTCTAAAATAAACCTAAGCAAGTACTATGTGGTATATGTGTGCTCTTTTTTCTTTTCTTATTCTTTTCCTATGTTCCGAGGAGAAGTCATTGGGCTTCAAGCGCTGAACTTTCATCCCCAGTAGTAATGTTTCCTTTTTCACGAATTGGGTTGGTGGCTAGCCTTATACGCCCAACGTTTCCATTTCTCTATACACCACTATCGGTCAAATGACGTTTATGAATTCGTCAGCTGGGAATTGAGTCATAGCTTTCCATATGACAGGTAGAGGTATTCATCACCAATACTATCGAGGAACACGTCTGTTATTTCGCCTGTAGATAATTAATTATGCAGCTAACACCAAGCTGTGCTTCAGTGGCACTACAGTAAAATGCTCGCCAGCCACGCATGTGGTTCGGAGTTCGACCGCCGGCCAACGCGTTCCTTTACCTCGCTAAGCCAACAATAGGAAAAGTTGGGCATGACGCTAGCAACCCCATCCCATAAAAATAAACACCACTGCTACCGAAACTTCAAGCCTTTTGTTTGAAGTCCTATGTTCCGTTGGGAACGTAAGGGAATAAATAATAATAACACTAGGTTATGTTATATTTCTCTACTTTTAAGTGTAGATTTAAAGTAACGCCTCTTGTATATTTCACGGTAGCCATTTTAGATATTTGACTAATTGAATGTTATTCACCTTAATCTAATCAATTAATAATTATAAATGTTAAATATCTTTGTATCCTCTGTTTTTATTTTATTCTATTTTAGAGAAGTAAAACGGACTGAAGGTATATCTACTACAGCATTAGTGTCAAGGTTAGTTATTAGCTTAGTTATTTTAAACAACTTTAAATATTTTTTTAGTGCATCATTAGTTTAGGGAATAGAATATTCGCACTAGCTATGCAAGTGGTTTGGGATTCGATTCCCGACCAGTGCACTCCTAATCTTTTCGTTGCCGATAGTAAGTTAGGAAATGACAGCAGGTTGTTCATTTGTAAGGATATTAACTCCGCCTCCTAAAGGTGACTATATATAATACCTACTGAAGTGATATCGATTAGAGAACCACTGGAAAACCTGTAGGGGGTACTGAGCATCTGTTTCGCCCTAGTTTTAGACTCTCCAATAGTACGCACCCACTGAAGTTCGAATCCAGGACCTCCTGGTTACAAGGCTTAGCTAGCTCGTAGAGCATTAAGGGACTCGGACCCCCCAGTCCATGAATTCAAACTTCTGCCAATTCACAGCACAGCACGACTGGCACTAGCCATTGTCATCACTGGTGAGTAATTGTCCTGGGTTCAAACCTCGGTGAGTGCGCATTGGTGAAGAGTCCCAACCTAGACTGACGAAACAGCTGCCTGCCCTGTACTCCAATGGTGGTTTTCCCATTGTTCTCTAACCGATGTATCAGCTAATGATGAAATCCTGTAGCCTTATCTTACTTTCTATCTTGTTTTCAATATAAAAGCTCAACTAAGCTTTGCTTTGTAGCATCAGGTGTTGAATAAGGTTTGTAAACATCTGTGACATTTCACTCGTTCTGTAGCTTTCACAAGTATAGTTACCAAATTACTTCATGGTCAAAATTAATCACGTGTATTCACTTATTATAAACATTTTTTGAAACTTCGGAAAAAATTTTTGAAAAATTAAAAAAAATTTAAACCAAAAGTTTTAGTAAATCCTTAAGTGTTTAAATGAGTACAATTGTTGTCTAACTTGACTAGTCTAGACTAGACTAACTAGTCAAGTTGTACTGTCAAAATTTAACTGATTTCACCTGCATCTTTTTCTGTCTGTTTTTTGGCAAGCTTCTTTTCATGTACACGAATACTTTGTGTAATCATACATCACACTTTTTTTCAGTGGTAATATAGAAAGTTAAGGTGTCCGCAAGTTGATTGTACTCCATCTGTTGTGTACAGCATTACAAAGTAGGTAAAAACACTAGTAGTATTATACCTCAAGTCGGTAGTCCATTGGTAGAATGAATGCCCGCCAACCATACCTTAGGGCGGCATTCGATTCTGTCGATCGAGAGATACTCTGGCGATGCTTGGCTGTGAAGGGAATGCCGAGAAAATACATTGCACTGATTAAAGCACTCTACTCGTACTCATACAGCCAGGTGAGGGCTTATGGCGAGTTGTCATCTGAAGTGGTGACGACTAGTGGTGTCCGTCAAGGATGACCATTATCCCCATTTCTATTCAACTTCATCACAGATGTACAAATGGACTTAACCCTAACTCACTTCAGAGACTCAAGGATTGACTTGCTACCAGGGAATAATCTTGTTGACTTAGAATATGCAGATGATATCGTTCTTCTAGGCGAGGACGGTGAAAAAATGCAGAGTCTTCTGAACACATTGAGCTGCAATCTACGAATGTTTAGCATGCGATTCGCTCCCGCCAAATGTAAGATGATGTTTCAGGGCTGGACTACACTGACTCCTAGTTTAAAAATAGGAAGTGAAGTGGTAGAGCACGTTGACCGCTTCACTTATTTTGGAAATTGTATCAGACCCAACGGGTTGATGATACATAGGGCTAGTTTCGCATATGCCAGTTTACGCCATCTCTGGCGTAGACGTGACATACGGCTGTTGACCAAACGGCATGTGTACTGCTCATCAGTCCGCTCCGTCCTCCTTTATAGCTGTGAGACGTGGCCATTGAGAGTGGAAGACATGAAAACGTTAGCTGTCTTTGATCACAGGTGCCTGCGTTCTATTTCCCGTGTGAAGTGGTATAATAAGGTGAGCAATATTGAGGCTAAGCTTCGAGTGTTAGGTAAGGAGAGGAAATCAATCGACGAGTCTGTGAAGTTACATCGACTGAGATGATTAGGACATGTGTTATACATGCCTAACGTAGTCATCGCCTTCCTCGACAACGAGCAATGTTAGCTGTCATAGGGTCAGACTGGAAAAGAGCTGATGGCGGTCAAACCAAAACATGGCACCAGTCAATGAAATCCACAACAGTTAGTTTAAGCCGGTGACGTAGGAAGGTGTGGACTTTCTGTTTGGGGTCCGCGGGACAGTAAAAGCCAATGGTTGGAAACAATTGATGACATGGCTCAAAATCGTTCTCAATGACTGGCGCAGATGCATCCACTCCTTGTGATTTATGATCTCCAATGAGACTGCATTGTTCTTCGTTATTACTATTCCTTTGTCTCACACCTCTGTTTACTGTCTCTTATGCAATTGTTCTACTTTCTTCTCCTGCTTTGTGTGCTACATGGATTGTGGCGACTCGAACTGTCGCACATTGGTGCGAAGTTCTATGTCGGAAACAGACAGACATACTTCAAGTCGATGGTTCATTGGTAGAATGAATGCCCGCCAACCATGCTAGTGGACTGGGTTCGATCCCCAGTTAACACACTTTTAAACCTCAGTTATCTGATACTGGCGCCAGAAAAAAAGGAATATGAGATGTGTAAGGCTAGCAAACTCATCCCATAAACAAAAAAAAACAACTCCACCGCTACCAAACAAACCGTGAAGCCTTGTGCGTCGGTGGCACAGTGGTTAGGACTCTCGCTAACCATCCACATGGTCCGGGGTTCGATCCCCTGCCGACGCACACCTGATATCTATGGTCGGCCTGGGCTTCTGATATCACATGCTGAAAATTCCATACCTGTACCAAAAATACGGTGTGGTTTCAAGCCATCATCATAAAAACAAAAATATTCCACTCGGAAAGCAAAGGAATGAAAAAAGGAGTTATCAATTAATCTTTTAAATTATTCTGTTGTGTGCGCCTGTGAATTGAGTATACCCGACACACACTAGGTCATTGTTGTTATTACTATTATTATTATTATTGTTATTATAATCTTCTTCTGGTTCCGAGTGGAACATAGCGCATCAACAATACATCTCCAATGTATTCCTGTCTTCTCACTCACTCACTGTGCACACACACAGTCTGACGCATAATTCAGTCAATCTGCCACAATTAAGAATATCATTGTGGGTCACAATAGACACGCAGCTAGTCTTGTCCTTCTCCATTCTGTAGTCACTTTGAAGCGAACCTTCACTGAGTTTCCTGTTGTGGATCGCCTGACTGACACGAGGTTTCAAGATACAACTTTGCACAGATATGCAGCACTTCAAGTTGTCACACTATCTCCATGTAGCACACAAAGCAAGAGAAGCGAGTAAAGACAGATTCAAAAGAGAGAAAGTGAAACAAAAAGAATAGCAATATATAGAAACAAAATAGAATTTTATTGGATATGACTGACAAATCACAAAGAGTGAATGCATCTGCGACAACCACTGACAAAGATTTTGAGCGATGTCACCATTTGTCTCCAGTTGCCACTATTGGTTTTTACCATCTCTACGATCCCAACCAATAAGTCAGTCAGGAAGTCCTACACCTCCCTATGTGACTGGCCCGTTGACCGGCTTAAACTAACTGTTATGGATTTATTTCATTGACTGGTGATGAAGTCATGTCTTGATTTGACCATCACCACTACTAACCAACTCTTTTCCAATCTGATCCATCCTATTTCAGTCAATTAACATCTCCCGTTGTCGAAGAAGGCGGTTGATGGCTAGGCCACGCATGCGTAACACATGTCCTAACCATCTCTCTCTCTCAATCGGTTGAATTTCGCATCCTCGTTACAACCAACTACACAAAGCCATAAACTATTGATTTTGATGTTCTTTATGTTTTTATTCTTTTTTTCCGGTTATTACAGGATGTTGAAACGTATTCAGCAACTACAGGATAAAGGTGCTTATGCATCTCAGTCGAGTTCAAATACAGAACAATCAATTCGGCGTACACAATCATTAGATTCTATATTAAAATCTAAGGATACATTTACTCACCCACGTAAGGTAAATAAATTAAGATAAATAAATGTGTGTGTGTGTTAATTTATTTGCTCCGTCGCATTCTTTATTGTGTCTCAGTTTGTGTCTTTGTGTGGGCGTATGTTGACTACTTCACTCTTATTTGAGAAGTTGTATCAGCCCCTTTTTAAAAAAGAAGTGACTGATTGCTAACGGAATCTTAGTACGGAGAATAAAAAAGGGCTTATGTGGCATTTCTCAGTCAACCAACATACATCATCTTTAGTGTAGATATGATATCTGATTATATCGATCAAAGGATGTGTGTGTGTGCACTGCTCAGTAGTGCCTTCTCTGTCCTTCTGTATGTTTGTGAGATACGGCCATTGAACGTGGAAGACATGAAAAAACTAATTGTCTTTGATCAGAGATGTTTACTTTCTGCCTCCCGTGGTATTATATAGTTAGTAATATTCAGGTTAGGTGTAGAGTGCTGCTAGGTAATGAAAGGAAGTCAATCAATGAAGTTGGGAAAGAGTTAGGCGAGGGGGGGATCAGACCAAAACCCGAAATCAATCCATGATGTGTTTGACAGTTGGTCTGAACTAACCACTAACCGTGTAGGGTCCTCCTTATGCTAAGAACCAACGACTGGAGACTATTAGTGATATGGCTAAAAATCATTGTCGATGGCGTGGATGCGTTCACTACTTATAATCACCGATATTCAATAAATCTTCATGTTTCTCGATGTGTTGTCATTGTTTCTCCTGTTCATTTTTGCTTATTATCGATCTTTTGAATTTACCTTTTTTCTTTCACTAATTTTGTGCACTGTATGTGTGTGTTGCAGCTTGAACTGCCACAGTTCTATGCTGCAACTCATTCAACCAGACGGTCTTATTCGAATTCCATCATTTAACAAATTAGTTTGATAAAAGCATACAGTAGGGTACAGCAGGTCGAAGATGACGACAGTTACTCATCGAAGACACTGCGAAGTGGTCGCGCTTTGTCATGAATTGGCAGAAGTTGTAATTCATGAGCTGGCCATTGGATCGTGTCCCAGTGGCTTAACGGTTTACGAGCTAGCTCACCTTATAACCAGAAGGTCCTGGGTTCGTACTACTGAAGAGTCCGAAACTAGACTGACGAAACAGTTGGCTGTCCAGTCCTCCCTGGAATTTTCCAATTGTTCTCTAACTGATGTCAGCTCATGATGAAATCCTCCAACCAAATAGTATTATACACCGACGAAGTTTCGAACACAATTTTATTGCTCATATTCGTCATCATATCAAGACGCTCTCTGATGGAATTATATACTCTACCAAACAGTGTCTAAGGTCTGTTTTTTTCTACTGATCCAGTTCCAGAAATACATTGTTTACAGTTTATTTCTACACTAAAGGGTATACATTTGATTCGTAGGCTTTCTTAAAATATAATATTAGATAAGTCTGTTTTAAATATCACACAGTGATGATGCATTTTCAAGCATAAATTATTGCCATTCATAATTGCATATCAATTTTAGTCACGCAGTTTCACAATTTCTCAATAAAGCTGGAATTAGTCTGGGCAGCATTTAAACCAACCAACTCTCTCAGAGATAAGCACCCGCCCTATAGATCCAATTAAGAAAATTAGTACAATTTACCAAAATAACATGTAATGACTGTGAGTGAGGTCAATTACATAGGTCAAACCAAGTAGATCAGGGTCAACCAGATTACTGGAACATGAAAATTTAGCCAGACGTAGAATAATTGACCCTGCTAAGTTGATTAACCTAGAAAAAAGCTCACTTAGTGCATTGGATTGCATTCACTTGCATGGAATCACAAAATAGGGTGGGTGGGATAGAGTGAGAGTATTAAAAAGTAACATACTTAGGTGGAGAGACAAACAGAGAGGTTAATCACTGAAGCTTTATTTTTCGATTCAACATCGTATACGTGCAATCAGAATGACACAACTCCTATACAGAAGATATGGAAAGTGTCATTAAACAAGAAACAGAAGTTGGAGAGACAGAATAGAGAGAAAAAAATATATATATATAAGGCAAACTGTGAAAATGTGTGACTAAAACTGGGATGATTATGAGTGTCAATAATTTATGCTTGAAATCCTAATATATGTGTAAAACTTGGACTCTGTGGTCGTAATTAAGTTCATATTAGTTTTCTTTTGCATATAAAGCGTGGGTTTCAGCTTTTGGATAGCTAGTGGCTTGGCTATGTCCAGATGCCTTAATTTCACTCCCTTTGATAGGTTTGATTCAATTTTCTATATTACTCTGAAGGATTTTACGAAAGGCGCTGAATGTCCTGAATTGACCAGATGTTCTGTCACTGAACTGTATACACGTTTTTGGTCTCCTTTTACTAGCCAGGCTGGATAGTGTTCACGAGCGCGTTTCTCAAGTCGACGCATGGTACGGCCGATGTACTCAGCTCTACAAGAGCAAGTAAACTGGTATATGCACGCTTAGGTGGCCCAATGCGACAGCTTGTCTTTCGCGTTGTGGCTGAACAGTTTCTTGCAGGAAAACGTCAGTCGTAGGCTCGTGGCGAAGTATGTTTTCCTCAGAACATCTGGTTTGTTTATTAGACGTATCACACAGTGAAACAGTATTATTTACTGGATGACCAGGTTTCGAACAAAATTTATTTATTGTTCATAATCATAACATCAATTATAATCACACGACTTCGAAACCTGAGTTTTATAGTTTTCTTTGTTCTCTCCTACTTGTCATCGTAGGGGTAGTAGAATCCTCCAGATATCTGGGACAGGTGTTGAATCATTCTTATTACACGTATTTGCAGTCGATTCGATAAACAAAGCTTCCGTTATCGATCTCTTCCTCCACCCTGTTACATTAGATTTTAAAACTGTCATCCTATCCCATTATCCTATTGTATGATTGTGTGTGACTGCATGTGGTGTAGTGCTATAGCTGAACTATTCTCTAGATTTCTTATTTTATTCGGGTGAACTAATCTAGATTTTGCTAGGTTTTTATGCTCGACTAGTCCGACTGACTGCCCCTCTTCTACTACTTTGACTTATTCATATGACCTGACACAAAATCATTCCAGCAGGCTATTGGATAAACTAAATAGTTTTGTTTTAACGGCTCCACAGGATTGATCCTTTAACCGACAAAGCTGGTTTCTAATTGAGTTTGTGGGTGACTGAATACCAGCCACTTTTATTCCTGCCTTGTTAAGAATTCTGCGTAAGGTTTCCGAGGTTCCTTCCTTTTGTATGGAATTACAACTGATGATTTTGATTCCTTATTGTTGGTGTTGTCTTGTGCACGGTTGACATGCATGTCGTCATTAATATTATTACTATTATTATTATTATCACTACCACTACTATCATTATTTATTTTATTTTTACATTTCCTTACATATTTCTTGACTAATTTATCAGGGTAATTATTAAGTTTCAAGGCTTCTTTTATGTGTATCACTTCTTGTCTTAGATTTTCATTGGTACTACTTAGTTTTTGTGCTCTATTATTTAAACATTTCACCAGTCCTATTTTCACTGACATATGTTGGGATGATCGTAAGTCCAAATATCTGTTTGAATGTGTGGGTTTCCTGTAAACACACGCTAGTGTTTAACTTCCCGTTTTCTTTCCTTTTTACGCTACAACAATCTAACATTGGAAGCTCCCCTTCCTTCTACCAACCTTATGACAAATAGGAGAGAACAAAGAAAACTATAAAACCCAGGTTTCGAAGTCGTGTGATTATAATTGATGACATGATTATGAACAATAAATAAATAGTGTTCGAAACCTTGTCATCCAGTAAATGATAATACTGTTTCACTGACTGTGTCTGATATATCTAATAAACAAACCAATGTGGAATTACTTACTACCACAGTGCTTAAGTTTTACACATACAATAATATTTCCTAAAATACATCAATTCAGTTATTTCTCATACATCTTTTTATTTGTATTATTTATGTATTTTTCTAGACAAAAGAAACCCTTTCACCTATATATCCTGGATTGAATTCCGCACATTCCAGAGGAGATGAAGTCGATTCAATCAGTGTTTCTATTTGGTCAACAGGTGGAATGACCTATATGCCAAATATATTAAGAATAAGTCAATTTTGTGCTGATCAATTCCGTGAACCTGGTCCTAATGATACAGTTGTCTATGTACCGGGTACATTCGATCTATTCCGTATCCTTTTTTTTTAAAAAAAACAACATTTTATTTGAATTTATTTTCATGCTTGTATTAATCTTAAACATTATGTGGAATTTTTAAAAAATATATAAACGATATAGTATGACCAAGACTTGGGGGTGGGTGGAGCGGTAGGTTAGGTAGGCTTCAATCTTGCTCTCTAAATGACCACACATTCATATTCTCTGCCAGGTGAGTCTTATTCACTGCTTTTACCTGGTGTGTTTAAGGGGGGGGGTGTTCCTCACAAGAGTGAAACAGCGAATGAATACAAACGAATAACACTCATATTCGGGCTGCTAGGTATTCAAGTCTACTTAGTGGAGTTGAGAAACCTTCATTCCTTCATTCAACCTGTGATGTATATTGGTTCTACAGAATGCGAACAAATCGAACCTGTTTTAGACTGTCGAAACTATGGGAACGTAACTCCTGATGTTACTCAACTGAGCTTTGTGAATCAGATTTCAAGTTAATGACTTGCTTCGGTGTGGGCATCCTGGCAGTGTCTTGGCTATCGTACAAACTATATGACTTTGTTTGACGCATCTCTTGGTGCCTATACACTAAGTTTGTGTTTTAGTGATAACAGTAGCGCAGCGATTAGGACTCTCGCCAACCATCCACATGGTCCGGGGTTCGATCCCCTGCTGACGCACACCTGATATCTATGGTCGGCCTGGGCTACCGATATCATATGCTGAAAATTCCATACTTGTACCAAAAATACGGTGTGGTTTCAAGCCATCATCAAAAAAAAATTCTTATGGATAGGCAGTGTATATTATTGCAAAACTCAACTTTTTCAAGTAATATACAAAATTATGTTTATGTGAATGATTAAACTGGAATTTATTGAATGAAACAGTGAAGTGATAGCGAATAAATTTGATCTGTCCATCTCGTTCTGCGATATTAATCATATACACGATCAAGTAATATAATTGAAACACTAAACAACAGGCTACTTTTATCGTCTGGTGCGTAAAAATTTCACATTTGCTATAGAATCACATTATTGTATTGATACTACAATAGCTCTACCACTATTATTATCATTATTCCTTTGGGTTCCGAGTGGCACATAGGGCTTCAACATCACATCCACACTATATTCGGTTCTATTTCCTACCATCCTCTTCACTTAGACAGATCAACGATTACTGACCATAATCTCTCATCTCTTCCTTTTCCTCTTCGGCAACACACAATCTCCTCCATGTCACCTTTGCATTGACCACCCACTCATCACTCGCTTCCCATCCACCTTCCACTCGAGCAATGGCCTGTAGTGAGCGTGATGTCATTCGACCGATGGCCTATTTAATGACGTATATGCCCGATCAATCCAGCTCCATCTCCATTTTCCTCTACATATTTATTAGTTGAGCAATCGGCTCTTGCTTTGTTGGTTTGTTTCTTGTTGCTAATTCTTTCTGATCAGCCAGCTATTTGATCATCAATAAGCAGCCAGCCAGCGAAGTGGACGGCTGTTGATAAAAATCTTCAATAGCCTGTTGGAAATCCTTTTCGTGACTGATTTAATTGCACTGCAAGCTTCTGACCCAGATGGCAGAAAAACTGACTAACCTCACATTTGGGCATTGGGTTGGAGCCTCGGTGAGAACATCATCACTAGCTGGGGAGTGCAGGTACATCCAGATGATGAGTCCCAAATATGACGAAATGCGCCTTATCCTGGATTCCACTGCTAGTCACCACCCACCAATTAAATTCTAAGGTCATACATTGTTTATATAGTTAATATACAGACAAGATAGATTGTGAGTCATAATGGACTAACGATCAATAGACATATAGCAAAATATATCAGACTGGCAAAACAAGGCAGGCACCATGTGACTACATATCGTATACACACATCTAAACAGCTATCTAGTGGTAGTACTTTTCAGTTTTAATCAGCTTCCCTCTTCTTAATGTCGAGTTTTCGAAGGAATATTATTGGCTATTCCCTTCCTCTCTCTCTGTGTCTTTTTCCGTCGCCCTGACTATACAAAGAAGGAGTGATAATTTTAAATATTCTTAGTATTGTGTTTGTTTTTCCTTGACAGTATACCTTTATATATACAACTGTATCTGTGTAACATCTAATAATTGCACAAACCAAACAAATCCATTCATGCACATACACGTACACACAAACACCCTGCTACAACAGATATCGGTCATTTGTCCTTCCTTGAACAATGTTTAAAACTTGGCAATTATCTACTGATTGGATTACATTCCGATAAGGTGAGTAGTTGTCAAATTTCATTATGTATTATTATTACTATTGTCGTTGTTGTTGTTTGAGATAACATACCTTGTCTTTTATTTGTATATATATTTTTATTCACAGTCATTATGTGGGTGTTACTGTTACTCTGTGGATGCCCCTCTAGTATTCAGACACTTATATATGAATAACTTTTTTTTTTAAAGAGAAATATCGTTTTCTGATGATTGTTATTTTTTGTGACACACTTAAATCGTGGAAAATACCCATTGGAACATTAGATTGAAAAGAACATGAAGTTCAGCAAAGATGGTGTTGTTTTCGGCGATTTCATTCTCAACAGCTGTACAATCGCATTTATATAGATTAATTTACATGGATACAATTCTTATTTGTTTAATTCCACATAGTAACGAAGGTGATGATAATAATTTTCAACATGATATGAGAGTTTGAAGGTAGGAGGGTCTGAGAGACAATATTGCATAGGATTAGAAATCAGTTACAATGAATGCAAAATTAATATTTGATAACTGGAGAATTAATTTTCAAGGCAAATAAAAGGTGATGATTGTTTTCAACTTCATATGAATTACAAAAGGCTTAGAGACGCAGGGATAGAACGAATTACAGGTGTGAACAGAATGAGCATGGAAAAAAATTGAAATCAAAATTTTCAACTTGAAATGTAAGTTAGGAGGTGTAAATATAGATTACAAGAGGCATAGAAACAAAAAAATGGTTATTCTAAACGGATTACAAGTGTGATCAGGAGAAGCATGGAAACAAACTTAAAATAACTGATTTTATAACTAAAAAATAGGATGAATCGAATGAAGGCAAAGAGAGAAAATTGCACACACAGTTAACAAAACAAAAAACTGAAGGGAGCATACCGAACTAGGTCCATGGTAGTTGTAAAGGCTGGACTGGTTTCTTTTGAACACACAGCTCCGGCTTTTCGATGCATATGGCGAGAACTTCTGCAGTACAAAGAAGTCGGGAACACATTGCCTTTGGTAGATTTTTGTTCACTTTGTAAATGACTCTAAATGATGAGTCGGTTGAGATTCTGCGACAGGTATTGACGAGATGTTCAGTTATTGCGCTTCTGATTGAACCCGTGCCTCCTCTTTGCAGCCATGCTGGATGATATTCGCTAACACGTTTTGATAAGACCTGCATAGAACGACCTATGTACCTATGTACACTTAAATGTTTCAGTATCAATGTGCTATACAGTATTTTCGCGTTTAACATGTTATGACCCGAACTATGACCTAATGAACTAACTATGAGCGAATGCTAACTTTAATGCACTGGCTAATCTGTCCTATTCACACGTCAACAACATCCCTCTTGTTGTCTATTTCAATTTTCCATATCTCTCGTATAGGCGTTGAGTCATTTTGATTGCAAGTATTTGATGTTGATTCGATGGACAAAAATCTTCATTGATTAACCTCCCTTGTCACCTAACTATATTACTTTTTAATACTTTTACCCTGCTGCACCGTTTTGTGTAATTACATGCAAGTGAATGCAATGCAATGCATTTACTGAGCTCTGTTATTATTCTAGGCCTAGCTAAATTTTTACGTTACGATAGTCTATTTGACCTTGATCGACTAGTTTGACCTATGTGTCATTGATCTCATATTCACTGCGAGGTATTTGATGAATTACATTTTATTTTCCTTCACGTTCCCCAGTGGAACATAGGGCTTCAAGCTAGTGGCTTGAAGTTTCTGCAGCAGTGTTTATTTTACAGGATGGGGTTGCTAGTCTTATGCTCAACCATTTCTCTTTACCAGCTTTACTACTGGCTTAGCGAGGTAAAGGAGTGCGTCGACCGGGGATTGAACCCCGGACCATGTGCATGGTCGGCGAGCGTCCTAATCGTTATGCCACCGACGCACTATAAATTACATTACTTCCCCTAATTGGATCTATTGGGTTGTTAAGTCGATAAAGTTTTTCCCTGAGTGAGTGAGTTGGTTGGTGGTTGGTTTGAATGCCACCTTAATTCTAGCTGTATCAAGAATCCTGCATAGGCCTTCTGGCGGCAAAGTTCTGCTCGCTGTTTGAAGCTAACTGCTGTAGCCTCTTCCTTTTCCAGTACTCGGTACTGAGTGACTTTTGGCCACTTATTTATGTGGTACCTAATTAACAATGGAGAAGGGTATTTCAAGGCTAGTTAAGTAACAATAATAATAATAGCTTTATTGCAAACAGTACGTACTTTTGGTAGAAATATGGAATTTTCAGCAATGTAATACAATATTGCATCTAATTACATACACGAACAATAATTAAAATAGAGGAGCATTTACATTAATAATTATTGTTCAATAAGAATGTGAATATAAAATTCAATCAGGGGAAAATATTAGCGACAATGTAACAATGTGAACAAAAAAGCAGCAATGACGTTTACTTAGAGTTCTGCAGAAAGTTGATAATTTTCTGCCTCACATTTTTCTCATCACATAAATAAGGTATTGTATTGTACTTAGTCGTCCGAGCATACAGTCTTCTATAGTTGCTTTTAGTTTCACCTAACCGATGAGATGCAGCAAGGGAAGAGTTGTATATGGAGAGGATGTTCAGAGTCTGACAGGATAATATTTGGTTACAGGATTTCATCATGAGCTGACATTGGTTAGAGAACCATTGGAAAACCACCTGGGAGTACTGAACAGCTGTTTCGTCAGACTAGTTTGGGACTCTTCAACAGTACGCACCCACCGGGGTTCGAACCCAGGACCTTCTGGTTACCAGGCGAGCTCGTAGACCATGAAGACACTTGGACCCGATCCAATGGCCTATGAATACCAACTTCTGCCAATTCACGATATAGCGCAACCGCAAAAATAAAAGTCATGCTTCACACTTACTAAGATTATTCAATGGTGCACACGCCAATATTGACTTCACTATGGAACACGAAAGTGACGGAAAGTTTCACTTCCTCGACATAGCCATGGAACGCTTAGAAGACGGTAGTCTTCAAAAGTCAATTTATCGAAAGCCCACATGGAAAGGACAATACTTGCATTTTAATAGCTTTTGTCCACATAGCTTTAAACGTGGTCTAGTCAAAACTTTGTACTATGGAGCGAGGAGAATATGCTCTACAGAGAAACTAGAGGAGGAGTTTGAGTTCCTTGAAAATGTATTGAAGAGAAATGGGTATCCTCAAAGGTTCATCAACAAGTATGGAAGATCTGAAGTCACAAGAGTAAAACAAATCACAGTGGAAAAAAAGCGTCTACCTTCAGCTTGATTATAAAGGTGAAAATATTGCAGCGACGATCAACAGAAGGCTGAGTACATCACTAGCCATAGCGTATCCTGCAGCGAAGCTCGTTCCCGTCTATCGAACAACTTGCTCTTTGGTGCAATCAAAAATCGATAGATATCCTTCTCATGTTACCTCCAACTGTGTATACAAATTTACATGTATCTGCGGGAGCAGTTACATTGGAAGGACAGAAAGAAGGGCATATCTACGATTTTCTGAACATGTACCAAAAAGCTTACGTCTAAAGGGAACAAATGCTTTAAACAGTGCCATTGTAACAACAGAAGACAAGGGCCAGGCAACAGATCGTTTTATTATGAAAATCAACACGTATTTATACATCTTTCAACTACATTATTATAGACAAGCGCAGTTATCTGATTGGCTGTTTAAGTAGACAAACGCAGGTTTCTGATTGGTTGTTTCGGATTCCTTGACAAATAGAGTTCTCTCTGCGAATCATATTCTGCCACGTTAACTTTGCTGTGATTGGTTGTTGACTCAGGCTTGTTCATATTTTCTCACGGCCCATATTAGTGACCTAGACCTTAACGTAGATTAGTGCCAACCAATCGGCTAGCAGCCTGCTCTCACCACACTCGTCCCCCCGTGAAATACGTGCGACTGAAGTCGGCTTGATCTACTTGGTGCAGGCGTCATCGTTGGCTTGTCTCGCTGTATCCATTTCTGGAGCTCGCTGACGTTCACGCGCCTCTCATTGTTCGCCATTGCGACTGTGTCTGCGTAACCCCATCTCGAAGTGACCATATATGGTCCTTCCCACTTTGGAAACTGTTTGCCTGACCCTGTCGAACATTCGTCCATACTTCGGCCCACACCTTCATATGCTGCTTTCGCCCGACCTCCCAGCAGCGTCTCAAGTAGCGCTCCATCGCTGACAGATCTTGAACGCCACTCAACTGCGCAGAAGCCTTGAAGTCCTGCCCGAAGATCCATATGTCTCCATCAAAAACTGCAGGGTATAGGCTTTTCATTTGTCGGTAGGCAGCGACACCAAATGTAACAACAGAAGACAAGGGCCAGGCAACAGATCCTTTTATTATGAAAATCAACACGTATTTATACATCTTTCAACTACATTATTATAGACAAGCGCAGTTATCTGATTGGTTGTTTAAGTAGACAAACGCAGGCTTCTGATTGGTTGTTTCGGGATTCCTTGACAAATAGAGTTCTCTCTGCGAATCATATTCTGCCACGTTAACTTTGCTGTGATTGGTTGTTGACTCAGGCTTGTTCATATTTTCTCACGGCCCATATTATGACCTAGACCTTAACGTAGATTAGTGCCAACCAATCGGCTAGCAGCCTGCTCTCACCACACCATCACCAGGCATCTTCTCGACACGGGTCATGAGGTGGACGTTGAAAAGTCGTTCAAAATTATCAATAAGCAAAATAGCTCAATTCTCCTTAAGTTTGCTGAAGCCATTTCCATCAAGCTCCTGAAACCTGATTTATGCGTCCAGAAAGAAGAAGCGGTTATCAGCCTTTCTTTGCCCTGGTAACTGGATAATTTCACCTCTCTTTCCTCCGAATGTGAAATGCTAAAAGTTTCCATTGTGTTTGATTATTATTGTTCGGAATAGTGGTTAATATTGCATATTTATATATGTATATATTTTTAGTGTATGCGTATATTGATCGATTGATTTTTGTTTAAAATGAACTCTGTGCAAGTATGTTAAAATT